GTACAGCATAGGGAATAGAGTCAATAATATTGTAAAAACTTTGGATGGTGTCAGGTGGGTACTAGACATTATGTGATCATTTCGTTAGGTGTATAAATGTTGAGGAATTACATTGTCCACCTAAAGTTAATATAATATTGTCTGCTAACTATATTTTAATAAAATAAAATTTAAAATTAAATAGCAGTTCTATTTTAAAAAAACAGTTGTAGGAGTGGTGTTGGTGACAACGATAATCGTGGTGGTGAACATCTATAAAAGTCTTAGCTGCGTGCCTTCACTGTGCACTTGTGGTCCTCGACACAGCCCTAGAGGGAGGTGGTGTCACTGCGCTGCAGGGACAAAGACACCGTGGCCCAGAGGGGTTGACTCATCCTGAAAGATGAAGGTGGAGCAGGGGTTTGTCTGACCCCAAACTTCTGCTTTTTGCCATGATGACCAGGTGCCTTCCTCATGGCACAAATGTGAGTTAAACTTGGATGAGAGCAACGGGGCTGCTTTGCTAAGGGCTTCGATAAGGATGTGGAGTTTGTGTTTGATGTTACAGAAAACACCCACTTTTAGTGTCTGAAAAGGTGCGACAAGATGAAGGGGGTATTTTAGGAAATGAGTGTCATTTCTACCCAAGGATATATTTTCTTTAGAAAAGATTTATAAAAGAGAAGCTATTGACCATGAAGAATTTCTTTTCATACGGTTTTATCAAGTGATTTGCCTCTTTCCCACTGGTATCTCTTAACCAAGAATTTCCTGTATCACTTTAAAAAGGATGCTCTGGTGATCTTTTTTTTTTTTTTCAGTGTTCCTTGTAAGTTTTCCTAGAGGTGATAAAGCATTGATCATTTCATAGCCAGCGCACAAATGCTGTTAAAGGAAAACTTTCCTCGAATTATTAATCCTATAAATTGATATTTCAGTTTAATATTATTTTCCCTTCTTGTTTATTTGTTTGTCTTATGCAGCACCTATAGGAAACTCATTTCTGGTGGTTCACAGTTTACTTTGTTATGTACATACTGATCATCTTTCTCCTTGGTTTTGTCACCTATGCTTCTAGTAGAGAAAAACAGTATTTAAGGAGAAAGGTGAAAATAATGGCAAGGAAAGCTAAAATATATAATGCATTTTACTTTATACAAATTCTTTATCACATGCCTCACCCAATTGAATCAGAGTGTGCATATAATTGGTGAGTAGTGAAGTCATTATGGTTTTTCTACAATTCTGTGTTTGGTCTGGGGAACACAGGATATTAAAATTGAGGCCTCGTTGTTTCTTGCAAGATGACCTAAGAGTGAATTCCCTCTCTCTGGTATTAAAATCTGGATCAGTGGAGAACTCATGCCTCCCTCAAATCTTAAGCTGTTTAATTCTTTCTTAACGTAGTATTTCCTGATACTAATAAATAAAATTATACATCTTCACATAAAACATGGTGTTTTCTTGATTGCAATAACCTTAATATGTGCGAACCACTGCACTTTAGTCTATGACTGTCATCCCCCTACTTGCTTCCTCCCCACCCCACCCCGCTATCCTTATAACAGGCTCATTTAAGCTGGGTTCCTGTACATCTTACTGTGGTCACACGAGAACATATTTGGATGGTGGAATTGAACTAAATGTCCAGTCTCCAGGTGGAGAGAAGAACAGAGACCCCGGGAAGCCTGTGGACTTCTGCTTGCTTTGATGGTGCAGTACACAGCCTTTCCGGACATTGAAGATCCTCCCAGTCAGTGCTCCGACCCTGGAGCTCCGTCCAAAAACAGCTGTCCAGAACTAATTTATTTCCTAATGCTATGGCACTGTTAATTTATAAATTACACTGGTAATTCAAGCTATTATTAATTTCAGATGGTGTAGGGCAAGCCTAATTAAAATATGACATCAATTGCCACACATATGTATCAAGGACTACCATTTAAAATTAATGGGGACATTAAGTGTGACACTGGCCTCCACGATGCTTTGCACAGTAATTATAGCATTCTAGCAGGGAGAGATCCGACAAACGCAGGCTCGAATCTGGTAGCAAATAAACAACAAAATAAAAGGAATCAGAAATTTTTTTAAAGATTCTATTTATTTATCTTTAGAGGGAGGGGAAGGGAGGGAGACAGAGGAGAAGAGAAACATTGGTATGAGAGAGAACATTGATTGGTCACCTCTTGTTCATGCCCTGATTGGAACCAAGCCCACAACCCAGGCATGTGCCCTGACCAGGTTTCAACCTGGTGACCTTTTGGTTTGCAGGATGACATCCAACCAATTAAGCCATATCGGTCATGGCATGAGTCACAAATTCTTCATTTAAACCTTTTCTTTTGATCTTCTTCCTCTTTCCTCAAGTCTAGTACTTTTTCTTCTAAAGATGCTTTGAAAACAGTAAGAAAGGCAACTATGACAATTAGAAGTTTCTTACTGGTTGAGATTATGAGTTTCTTTGACTTCATGTTGGCTCTCTTCTCTGCAGCCTAGAATATTGGGCCTCTTGTTCTGCTAATTGACAGGTTCCTGATCCTTCCTGTGAATTTATAGCTCTCGCTTGCCTGCTTCAGCAGACGTAGGCTGTTCTTTTGCTCCTCTGGAGGCAGTAGAGTCCCTGTGTGTGCATAGTGTGGGTTTCACATAGCGTGGCAAAGTGTGAGGAAACGCCCAGTTTGGGCATATTACTTGTCGGAAGCAAAGAGTCACCATGTCCGAAGAGTTGTGGTAGAGGTGGCAGCTAGTGGCCTTCTTTTACAAGACAGTTATTTTGTTATTGTTGTCATTATTATTGCTATTGTTGTTATCTAGACAAAAATGGTGGTCTTGATGTTGAGGCAGGAGACAGCATAGGAAGAACTCTGAGACTGCAATACTGTTACTGGCCAACATCTAGCATCCTGGTTGCCAGCAAATGCCTTTTACCAAGTAGAAAGATTAAGTAGTAAACCAAGGCAAGAAGGAGGAAGAAGACACGTCTCACATGCTAACTCAGTCCTGAGCCTGGTCTGATAATACTGCCAGGTGTTCCAACTTCACAAGAAACACTATGTTAGCAAGAAAGAAGGGAAGTCCCTGAAATTCTATGTAGTATTTCTACTATCTGGGAAACAAAGCCTTGAAACTGTACTTTCATCTCAAGGCCCGGAATGTGGGAGAGAATCCACATTCTCCAGTGCCCAAAGAAGAAACCCATAAAACAACCTGAGTTAACTGTCTACCTCTGGTCACTATCTGTTTTACAAGGGAATCCCTGGTACTTACAGAAAGAGCCCATAAATAACTTTGGAAAGTGCCCCAATTTTAATTAACTGCCTCCTGTCACATATTTGTTTTACAACAAGATGAACAAATGGGGTCTGGAGCAAGATAAAGATTCAGGCTAATAGACCCCACACATGCCTAAGTTTGGGTCGTCACATTCCCCCAGGAAAGCTGGCACCGCATTTACCCGGTAATCAATATGTTACTGTTTTCTCCTCTCCCACGAACTATGTAAGTCCTCAGAACAAAGGACTTGCTCTCTCTTGGGGCTCAGGGTGCTCTTGGCTCTCGGGTCACCGGGCCACTGGCCACCCGGCCTCAGGCCTCCCCGGGGCTTGCCACCCTGGTCTTCAGCTGCTCTTGCTTTTGCTGCCCAGCTTTGCCCTGAAACTTTGCCTTTCACCCCCACTGTGCCCAGTCCTGTTCTCTTCCATGGGAATGGCTCCCTAACAAACTGAGGACCTGCTAATGCATTTGCTGATTCTTTACATGCGTCAGCAGGAAGAACCAGGTCTCTCCCGTCAGGGATGTCACACAACAAGTATGACTGTAACTTACACACACATATATCATTCTTTGCATTTTTATCAGTTTATTCCTGTTGTTATTTTCGTGCTTTGGAACAGCAGATGCATGTGGCACGATGGAGTGGTTCTGTTACCTGGAGAGAATGCTCCTTTCTTTCCCTTTCTACTCCTGCGGAGCCACTGGCGTTGACGTAGCTTTACTCCACCCGAGTCTGTACCTCCAGGCAGGTTACAGGAATACCACCTACAGCGACCATGTGCAGTGCATAAAAGTTTTCAATGTGCTTTCATGTACAATATATATAGTTTTCATTTGTCCTTCCGAACAACCCTTGGAGGCCTCAGGATTGGATGTATATTATGCCTGGGAAACTGTCTCTCAGCTGCTAGTGGCAGTCTCAACTAATGCTTGTTGCCCCGTAATATTAATAGCACCCCCTTTTACTCTTAAAAGTACCCCAGTTTGCATAAAAAATGTATCATCACACTGATCACTTCACTTAACAGAGGAGGCAGGACCCTTTCCTGCGATGGAGAGATTGCTTTTGTTCTCCGTTGTCTTTCCATGTGGAGGCTGGAGCTCAGGCTGCCTGTGGCAGAAAACCAAGAAACCCGTCTCCTGAGCTTCAGCGGCACGGTCTTTCCATAATCCAGTCCTCGTGGCCGGACCTCAGGTGGGAAGTCTAGTAGGCAGAGGTTGTGATCATTGTCCACAATTTTTCAACGTAAAAGCTGGTGCTGGGGAAGACGAAGGGACAGAGCAGGATGTCTCGCGTGTCTTCTTGGTCTTTCCTTTCTGCCAGGTTTGTGAATAGAGTGTGTAAAGTCATTAACTTTACATTCCAAGGTTCAGTCTACACAGCACCTGGATCAGAAGGAATTAGTATATACCTCAGGGGTCTAGCTCAGACCCCAGAGCCTGACTGCTTGGTAAGGTCCAGGCAGTATAAATGTCACAATTATGAATCACCTATGGAGACCAGTAATTCTCTAGGCATTTTGTTTGGTCCGAGTAGGAACACAAGCATCTCAGCTCCTCTGTGGGGGAACTAAGGAAGCGGTGGTGACGGGTGTGACAGAAGACAAGGGGAGGTGTGAATCCACATAGTCCCCAAGAATCTGAACTTAGATGTGGCAGACATAACCACGGTATATTTTGTTTTCTAAGAGAACCCTTTCGGTGTCTTGTTTTTCTTTTCTGTGTTATTGTACCTCCTCCTGCAGCAGTGGGCTTTGTGAGTGAAGACGAATACTTGGAAATCCAGGGCATCACGAGAGAGCAGTCTGGGGACTACGAGTGCAGCGCCTCCAATGACGTGGCCGCACCAGTGGTGCGGAGAGTGAAGGTCACCGTGAACTGTAAGTGGCCTTGTGACCCCCTGCCCTGTGTGGACGTGTGGCTGGCTGCTGTCGTGGCCACAGAGAGGAGCTGGATCACAGGCCGACTGCTGGCTCAGGATGGGAAGTCTTGTGGCATCCTTGCTCACTGTCAGCTCTAAAGAGCATCAATTCTAAACTATTAAAAAAAAGTATAGGTGAATGTAAAAGTATAGCTGAATATACTTAAGCTATATACTTCAGCAAACTCAACTTATGTTCCCAGAGAATCATTAAATGGCCTTCAATGCATAGTTTACATAAACAGATCTTTAAACCCCAGTTTTCCCCTTACTTTGTTTGTGATGTCCCTAAGTTTCTCACTGTCGTTCAGTAATCTCCGCACTGAGGAGCAAAATGGCAATGTTTATGAAGGAAATATCATAATTTCCATTTATGGCATATGTATCTTATCTTTTCACAATTATACATGTTGATATGCCTATACATTCATGATTTAAATATAAATAAACATACACATGTTAGGGAGTGTATCTCAAAACCTGGTTTTGACTAATCGAGCTACAGAGTCTAAATAAGTTTAAGAGGCCACGGCTCTAGGTCACTCATCCTCCTTGGCCAACCATCCAGGTTCTCTCCGCCATCGACGCTCCCCAACTTCCGCACCTCTCGCTCACCCTTCCCCCTGATTCCTCACTGTGTTCACTGACTCTGCTCTTTATGCCATTCTGAAAGTTTTGTCTGTCATGCCCATTTGAGTAAGTCTTATGACAGAATAGAACCCAGGAACTAAAGCAACAAACAAAAAGCCTTTCTTTTTCAAAAGTTGGATGGGTGGATGTAGAGGAAGAATATTCTGTATTTTCTTTACCATAACATTTTGGTTTCTATTACAGTCTGAACCTAATTGATATTACAAAGAACTTTAAGAAGCAAGACAATAGGTGTAACAATGCTACCACCTTTTGTGCTGTACCAGAATTTTTTAAAGGACTCAAATGACTCACATTTCATAAAGACTAAACTAAGGAGTCAGGAAATGTAAGCAAGGGAGAAACATATTTTTTAAAAAATATGTGCAACCTAGGAATAAGTCAGCATGTGACTATATATACACGGGGGTTAGCTGTGGATGCAGTGCTTTATTTTGAGGTGTCTAAGCGAAGAGAAAAAACATCATCTGTTTTAAGGTTTATGTCCATAAGACCAAAGCAAACTAGTTGCTTAGCAGACACACTGTGTCTCCTCGTGCGGAGACCTGGAAATTTTATCTTTATGGTCTCCACAGTAGAGTACATTGGACTATAGTCAACAACATTGCATATAATATCTCTGTGTTAAGCAGAATGGCAAGTTTCTTATGGCTATTTCTCATAGTGCACTTCACTGCAAATTGCTGGAATCATCAGGCATCAGGTGAAAACTTCAAATGCTTGTAAGCTGAGTATGTAGGTCTAGTTGGGCCTGGCTCGCTTCGGGTGTCCATTTCAGAATGTCCAGAAGAATGTCAGATCTCTATATCCTTCAGGCGAGTCCCCGTGACTATTATTTCTTGCAACTGAGCTTTTGCTGGGAATTGAATAGTATGTGCTTCTATACCTTGGCACGAACCTGGTTTGCAGAAATTCTATAAGGCTGATTAAAAGTACTGACTGTCAACCCATGGGGCATAGGGTTGATGGGTTGGCATCATCCTACGAAAGTTAAAAAGTTGAAACAGGAAATGGCCCTCAATACCCGGTCATTCCACCTCTGGTTAGAAAAAAACAGAAGCACTGCATCCCAGGAAGAGCAGGTTTTTCCACAGAACTACCTCAAGTGGTTTCATTCTGCAGCACAATTTGTATAGCGATTGGTCAGCTCAAGTAAGTGAGGTAGATCAGAGAGTAAAGGATAAAGTCAGTGAGTGAAGCAGCGGGTCTCATTTCAGAATGCATTTTCAAATGCTTACAGGCCATCTTCTCTCTGCAGATCCACCATATATTTCAGAAGCTAAGGGTACAGGCGTCCCGGTGGGACAAAAGGGGACACTGCAGTGTGAAGCCTCAGCAGTTCCCTCAGCAGAATTCCAGTGGTACAAGGATGACAAAAGGTAAAGACTCCTTTCCTCTACCATCCCTCCCCCACACCCACAGAAGAAGACATCTCTTCCAGGTTCCTGATTCCAGACACTTGCAAATGAATCCCTGTAGAATCCTCTCTGAATTGCTCCTATCTATAAGGGGGAAACAATAAACAAACGAATCTTTTCTTAATATTAATGAATTGTAACAATGCTTTCAATGTTGCCATTCAGAATCGACACTCACCAGGTAACAGGCCTGAAAGAAAACACTTCTCTAGGAAAGCAAAATCTCATGGGAAAGGCCACCAGGAGCACTGGAAGGCCTATGGATTTTTCATAAACCAACACAATATGTTCTGTCTGAAGCTACTGTTGTTAACGCATTCTCAGGCTCTCATTGGGCATTAGGAATGCTCAGGGGGCACTGGGAAGGGCTCTGAAGTCAGGGGTAGCTCCAGGTCTCAGTTCAGTTGCAGACACTACCAGTACTGGGTTATGAGTCCATGACCCTATTTGGCCTCCCTTTGTGCCCAGGTTGTTCTTACACTGCAGGAAAAAAGACAGGGGACTCTTCCTCCCTCTCTTATCACCGCAGCCATCAGCGGGTCACTCATGGTTCACGACACCCAGCACTGCCAAGAGCTATCAGATGGCACGCCGGCACCGGGTTCAGCCGCGCAGCAGGGCCGGGCACCGTGATCAACGCCATCAGAAACAGCTATCTTAGGATGGATGAGCATCCAATAAGTGTGTCCATATTCAAAACACTTTTATAAAAACGCAGAGGGAATGGTGCAAAAACGCCCTGAGGTGTGTGTAGGTGGAGAAGGAGGAAGGAGGCTGAGAAAGAAACCCAACAGAGAGGGCGGTGGCGGGAAGGAGAGCAGTGCAGGCACCTGCAGGCACCTCCAGGCCCCAAGGGCCCCCGCTGTTGCCCACAGGACGCGGACCTTCTCCAGCGGGCCTGGGCCTCTTTTTTGTGAGGTCAGTCAGACACCAAAAGCTTTTCCAGGCTCTCAGTCAATCATTCAATTTTGTTTAGGACCACATCACTTAGTCATGGGATTCATGGTACCTTATCATGACCATTTCAAAGAGATCCAGTGTGTTTCCCTCTGTGAGTACAAATTCCGGCAGCTTCTTGCTGTGGTGCACTGAATTCACTTGGCCCATTGTATGGATGGAAGAACTGAAGCAGAAAGAGGGGAACGAATTCATAAAGAGATCAGAAGAAACAGCTGGCTTTCCCTCTTTTTCCAAGAATTCAGGTTCAATCAGAAGGAGCAATGTTTTTTCAGTAAATAAACACGGCTATCTTCCTTAGAAGTCCTGCTTCACTTGTCCCTGCCTCCCTCTTCTTGAAGGACCTTCTGTGTGAATGTCTAGTACCAGAGGGAAAAAACTATGGAGCACAGGGTCAGTTCCCGAACCTTCCATTGTCCGGTTCTTCATGAAAGCTAATCAGCTGTATTCTGTTTCTCTAACTTTTTATGGAGGAAAAATACAAGCAAAATGTATAGGAAAGCAGGATCTTAACCTAGGTAAAGTAGAGGCAGCTGTGGGCAAAAACGGCCCTCGGACCAGGCTCCCGGCCGGCCAGAGGGCTGGCGGCGTTGGCGACTGCAGTCTGCACCAGCATTTCTCCAGGGCTGAGAAATAAGTGTCACCTCGGAGGGTCCTCAGAGGCCCCTGGCTCAGGCCACTTGGATTCCTCCTCTCTCTGAGTTTTTCTCGTGGCAGCTTTCTCTCTCTCCTTTAACTAATTCTGGTCCGTTTTCCACTTGCGGCCCCTTCCTTCATTTCCAGTGTCCTACCAGTGAATGGAGTTGTCTGTCCTCCTGGAACCCAGTTTAACGAGAACTGTCTGTCTTCCCGGGCCTCCTCTCTGCCTGTCCTTGCCAGGCCGCTGCCCGAGCCCCTCCAGGCAGGTCTCCGGGGGCAGGCGCATTACACCCACCTGGGGAGAGATCAGCTGTGACCTGGCTCACGGTTCCAGAGAGACGAGCAGATTTTGGAAGCCAGACAAAAGACTCTGTGAGACGAAGAGCAGCGTTCTCACGTGTTAGGGCGAAAGTCTTTCTGCGACGACAGAGCAGCACCCGTCATTGCAAGGCACTGTGCAAGACATCAGTCAAAGAGGGAGAATGGAACGCTGTGGTTAATAAGGACGACCCGCGCATGGAGACACCAGCCAATAAGAAGCCGACAGGCTCATTAAGAGACCGAAGCCTGGTAGCAGTGTGGGATGGGAAATGTGTGACCACACAGGGAAAAGGAACGTGTGTCATTGCAGAAGCTGCAAAGTGGTGCAAAATGCTGCTGGAGCTTTTTTTTTAGCTGAAGACCTTTCAGAGCTGTCAAGTACAAACCTGCTTGGCTAAGTGTCTCTCCCCACTACAGGGCGGGAATCTAATTCACAGCTTGGTGTGGTGTGAAGCCTGCGCCTCAGTCCAGGAATGGTATCAAGATGGCAAATGGGATCAATAAGCTGGAGGGGGGTCTCAGAGCCTCGGGATGGGTGGGCTGCCAGACCATCTTTGGACAGCACCCCCTAGAGGATCAATGTCTACATAAGCAGCTGGAAATGTAACTGGGTTCGGGCCGCAGAGCCGGAAGCCTCGTTCCATTTGCAGAGCGCTCGCATTTCAATGAAGTTCATGGACTAGAGCCACTTCACTGCTCCTGGAAGGAATGGCTCCCAGAGGAAAATCTACATAATGCAAAGCAAGGCAAGTTTCTCCAAGCAACCTTCTGACTTCCCTGGAGACAGGGGTGTGAGAACTGCAGCCAGAGCCCGGCTTCTCTTCCGGTCAGGGCCACCATGGGTTTTGGCCGCGGAGGAAAGCGCGCTGTAGTCCTGCAGAGACCACTCCTGCCGGTGGTGGCCGAGCAGCCACCATCCCCGCCGGCCAGGCTGTTCCCAGGGGGAGAGGTGGGAGTTCTCGGTGTTAACTCCATCGGAGTGCATTGTCTGGAATGAAGTTTTATGGTTTGCAAAGCATTTTCTGGTCATCCCGTCGCTAAGCTTCCCTTTATTTCTGCCTTGAATATTGTCTTTCTCAGTGCGATGACCCTGCTATCAGCCATTTGCCGCAGTTCATGCCCCCAGAGCCTGTTCCAGTGCGTACCCACCTTGACCTTGTTTACTCTCTACACACCCTGCTCCAGGCTGACTCTAAACAGGCAGCTTAAGTTTGTGACCCTGTCCCCAAGACCCTCCACGCACACGGACGTGTGCTCACCACTGGATTCGTTTTTCATGCTAACACAGACTCAGCTGCTGGGCAGGGAAGACTGGTTATTTCAGGGAAAGGAAAAGGTTAGCTTTAAGTCCATTTTGTGAAATAGGACATTCCAGAGTTTTCCAAAAGAAGAGGGGGTTCCTGTGTGGGCATGCAATTGTAACAGGGACTCTTGCTACCAAGCTGGTGCAGTGGAGGATGTAGCCTTACTGGTCGCGCAGAGAGCTTTCTCCTTACCCTCTCCCTCCACCCCACGGTGGAGTCTGTGGTTCTGATACATGTGTCTCACTGCTTTCCTCACTATCAATCCGTGGCACTTCTTTAGTGCCCCCTACCTCCAGTATGAGGCCTGTGGCATATTGGACCCCCGAATGGACTGCGAAGGCCGTGTTCTCGGGAATCCATAACCACCACCCCCCCAGACTGAGTTGCTACTACTCTCTGGGCATATCACCTCTCTCCAGCTCTTCAGAGTCTGCTGATTTAAAAGGGTCCCCGATTCATGTTTTCTGTTCACAGCCCAGGTATTATGTGCAGAATGCCTCAGATTCTTGCGGGAAAATTTTATTACCCAGGTGCTTGAAACACGTTTTTTCTTCAAGCCCCTCAGGTTGGTCTTCTCTTTGAAGTTAGAATTTTTCGTTTTCATGGTTGCCATCATCATCACCATCACCACTTTCATTAGCATCATCATCAACATCAATTAAGTCCACATTTTTGAGCACCAACTCTGCGAATGATACTCTTCTGAATGCCACACAGCTGGCACATTATGTTGGCTGAGGACACCTGCTTTTCGAGATCTGAAAACCCACTTAGGGAGGTGAATGTCTGTGCAGTGCCACAAGGATCTCCAGGCACATCCCTAAAGATAGAGAAATAAAATGATATGTGTTATTGTGTGCAAACTTACTGTGCAGTCTGGTGGGGGAAATGCGATTATAACGCCAGAAGGGGAGAACGAGATAATAATTAATTCCAGAGTCTGTCTTCTTCCTGGGAGAAAAATATAACCGTCTTTTTTTCCCTCTTGCTTTGTCTCATCGTTCTTCTTTGTCTCAGACTGGTTGAAGGAAAGAAGGGGGTGAAAGTGGAAAACAGACCTTTCCTCTCAAAACTCATCTTCTTCAACGTCTCAGAACACGACTACGGGAACTACACTTGTGTGGCGTCCAACAAGCTGGGCCACACCAACGCCAGCATCACACTCTTTGGTAAGACCGAGCCCTGCGCTAGGTGGTGACGGGGGGACAGGGTCATGCAGAGGAGGAAGAGCCCAGGGAGGCCCAGAACGGAGGGTGGGAGAGAATCGTTAGCCAGGCGTGCGTGACAGGAGGAGAAAAGGAGGATGAGAGAGAGAGGTATGAAGAAGGTGTGGAAGTAGACACTGGGAGTGGGGGAAAAGTACATAAAGGCCGTTCTTCTTTCATTCTGCAGTGGGAAAAGCCCTGAGACAGGAGAAAAGGACTTGGGATGTTGAAGTGACATTTAATTTTTCCTCCTCAATGATATCTCCTAAACGGGCTATGGGGATTATATAATTAGTAGTTGAGAGCCCAGGGAGGAGCATTTACTCTATCAATAGTCCATTCACTGAGTTAGTGTAAAATGCCACCATTTCTAAATTTTTTTTGGCCATTGGGACCTAAGAGAAATGAAATTACGTTCATAGAAGTAGAATCATGGGCCTTGGGATCCTGAATAATATTAGTTTCAGAGGGAGAATAAACAGAGAAAAGGGGAATTTTCCTAGTGTTCTATTTGTATCAAAAGGTATTGTCTGGCTGGATTAAGAAATATTTGTTCAACCAACCCACCATCCTGAGAGAAGTTGCATAGTCATTCATGCATTGATCACTGAACAACCATTTATTCAAGGGCTCATACGTGCAGGACAAACTGCTGTGCACTCCTCACATGTTGGCAGTGGCATTGGTGCCAGATGACAGTGAAGGAAGCAAATAAACCAGCACCCCTGAAGGCTCAGTCTCTGGTTCTGAGGGTAGAACAGCTGCATGCCAGGGACTTCCATCCCTCCACAGTTGCAGACTCTCCTCCTGGGCCACAGGGTCAGTTTCTGGTTGGCGCGGGGGCCAGTCCCTCCATACCTCACTGAGTTTAGTTGGCTTAGCATTTTTCAAATCCGTTCCTCTCAGCCTCCCATGTGAACAAGTGCTCTTGAATGTGGTGTGGAGGGAAAGGTAAGGAAGTTAGCGGATGATTGGCAAGAGCATAAATTCCTTCTTTTCTGAGAACTCCCAAGTGATCCCATAGCTTCGGGTACTCACCCCTGTCTCTGCCACAGTCCCTCTGTGACACATGTGTCCTGCTGGCCCCTGATGGCCCTCCTGTGCTGCCCACTGTTCTGGCTACACTTCCAAATCACATTCTCTCTTCCTTTTACCTGGCACGTAAAAATAAAGCCCAGCTTCATGCAAGAGGGCTGGAGAGGGGAGGGCCGCCCTCGATCCCAGAGCTGGGTGCTGGGAATGGACGGAGCTGTGATTCTAGTGATTGATCGGTCTGACATCTCTCACACAGGGATAGTCATAATTGCCTCTCGCATTTGTCAGGCCTTTTTGGCTTTTTGGCAGGTGTCTGTCTGCATGAAGAGAAGGGCCAAGATTAGAAAGGAAGGTGCCCCTCCTTCCCTTGCCTTGCAAATCTGAGGCTCTCCCTGGCTTTCCCACCCACCCCTTCCGAGTGCTGCTCCCCACCCCCAGCAGTCATCCTTCCAGGAAACAGCTCCCTCCACCTTCGACCTCCTGGCTTTTCTGATTCGTATGCATGAAATGATTTTGCAATAGGCTTCATCACTACAGTCTGGCTACTTCCCCTGAAGCCTTCTTAAGATGAGAATGGGAAGAAAAAGCAAACTTAAAAGTGAGATACCTGGTATTTGGGACCAGAAGGCAGTGGAGGATGATGCATCATCCCTCTGCTCTTCTCAGCAGACCCCTGAGAGGCACTAGGCCCTCTGTCTGTCCCTGAATCCCCCCCACCCCGACCAGCCCTGCCACTGGTCTCCCAGCTTTCACCTGTGTGGCACTTGGGACAGTCCTACACTTTCCAGCTTCCCGCAGTGCAGGGTCCTCTTTCAAAATTACATTAAAGGAGACAGTGTGTGTCGAAACAAGTTTAGACAATCTGGGTGAAAGGCGAGTGGAGCACCTTTGATGCAGGAGGTCTCCGAGCCTGCACCTGTTAAATCTCTAAGAGGGAGAGAAGTTTGTAGCCTGCCCCAAATTTAATCAAACAGACGCCGAAATGTCAGCCTCCGTTGAGAGACCATTTCTGAGGAGCCTGTCACTAAGATCCTGCATGGGAGGTGCAGCACCATGGAAATAGTGAAATTCCATAAAAGTGCAGGACGGCCATGCCCAAGGCTCGGCCAGATGGACGCCGTGGCCACTGAGCTCGGCACCGAGGCTTCCCCATCACAAGGGCCTTGTGACGAAAGTGTTACCTTCCTGGGGGCCCCACACCATTTTCCATTATGAGAAACCCCCTCAGCTCAGAGGCATCCAGCAGGTTGGAAAGCAGCATTGGCTTTATGCAAATATGCAGACTCGGCCATGGAGTTCATTCCTCCACAGCCTCACAAAAAGCCAGCTGAACTGTCATCCTCCACCACCCACTTTTGCTCAACCTGCACGCCCTCTCCACCTGACCTGAATGTTGAAAAGTGAGGAGGGCTGGTGCTGAGGGGCTCCCATCTTGGCCAGTATCTCTGAGGGTCCTTAAGCCACCTAGGGGCAGGGGAGGCCCTTCCTATCTCCGGCCAGAACTGACAGGGTTCTGAGCACCAGTCTCTAAAACCACAGAGACGGCAGGGGCCTCGAGTTTTGCCCTCCTTGATCCTGAATCACAAGGTTCCTCAGGGGCCTTGTTCCTGCCCTGGTGCCTTGGGAGCACAGACTCTTGGACTTGGTCTTCCAGAGTGAAACACTGGGGTGGAGGTGTGGGAAAGAAATCTCCTCTGAAAAAGAATTTTGGTCCTTTGTTTGTTAACGTATCGGTGCCCAACTCAGCACAAGCTAAGGGTAAATCCACGTGCCCTGAAAGGCTTACAAGGGTCCAGCTCCCTCACTTCCCGACCATCACGTCTGGGCATAAAGCACTTTTGTGTTCTCATGTTGCATGTTGTCCTACCACCTTTGGTTGCTGTGTCTCCCTTTATTTATCCATTGCTCCAGAAATGTTTGTGAAAGGTGGTATACAAACTATATATGACAAATATATAGCTACTGTATATAATATATGTGTTTGTTTTCATTTTTCTCTCCTGTATGTCCCTCACCCGATTTAGAACTAAATGAGCCTACAAGCTCAACTTTGTTGCAAGGTCAGTATCCCCCTTGCTTTATGGATTCTCCCTCCCTTTTCCCTCGCTGCCCCGTATTGTCCCCGCCCTTTTCCCCTGCCCCTGTGTGCATTACCTGCCTATAAAGTTGCTTAGAGGATGGCAGGGGAAGCTAAGGTGGTTACTGGGAGCTGGTAAAACTCCAAAGATAGCTCGTTTCTCTGCTCAGCCTTGCCCACACTTCTCCAGAAAGGCTGGGTGGGGAAAAAGAAAAGAAACGTTATTAGCATCTCAAAGCCCAGAAGATTGACAGAGTCTGAACCAATAGGAAGACAACTTGAACCCACTGAGCAATTTTCATGGCAAGAGTCCTACTGATGGCCACTCAGCAAAGAAGCAAACACGGGGGTACCTGAAGGTTCAAAGATTCCCTAAAATGCATCAGCTGGTTCACAGGGAGATTCTCCAAGGGAGGAGGGGGGTGTGGCACAGTGCGCCTGGTGGCCAGTAAGTTATTGTCACGGGTGGGATGCCACTGAGTCCTGGTTCTGTGCTCTGGGACACGTCACCAAATGGTATTTAGAGTCCCTTTCCTCTTCTACAAAATGGAATTGATCTGCCTTATCTACCTGCGTTGTTCCAACATTCAACTGATGGTGCACAGTAAAAAGGCTTTGAAACGAGTTGGTGCACTTTGAGTTATTCAAGTCCAGTCTCCAGGCGCAAGCTGAAAGAACAGGGTGTCTCTCAGCGTAACAACACAGGGGGTCATTAACTTATTTCTCCAGACCCCTTACATATTCCTCTACTTAAAACCCTCATCCGTGGGAGAGTCCTGCACCCCTTGCCTCTGTATGCACAGCCCTTCAGATTCTCTCCAGGTCCACCAGCCCGTCTGAGTGGCACATGACGTGGCTTCGTGTGCTGCTTTCCTCCTCCTGAGGAGAGTGCCAGCCATAAGCTACCCAGCAGGAAGGCAGCTGTGCAGACAAGGAGGGGGACCACTTCTCTCTCCCTGCACCCCAACCTCCCAACCTTTCTCATCCCACCTCAGCCCGCACCATCCTGTCCACCCATTCACATCCAGCTGTGCCGTCGCTGGAGGGTGGCATTAAACTTGGGAGGTGGGGGAAAAGATGGGAGGAAATGAATTATTTAGGAAGCTGTCTGACAGATGAAGAAAATACTTTTATCATGAAAAAATTCAGGGCTGCATTATTCACCTTAGTGATGTGGAGCATCTCGGTGATGAACTGAGACAAACACGAAAATGAAACAAGATAGAAGGAGAACATGAGCTCAGCGGAAACATTTGGGTTCAGTTTATAATTCAGCTCGCGCGTGTCGAACCTCTGTGTGAGGCATAGTCGCAGATCTAAAGCAGAGCATCAGAAAAGCACCTAACGTGAGCGGGAGGAGGGAAGTGTGAGCCTGGATGGAGCAAAGGCGGCACTGCCCCAAGACGAGCCTTTAGAAGCGACTAAGCTCATTCTGATCACCGAGTTCTTCATCCTCAGAGGGAATAGGAGCGCTTAGCAGGGGTCGTGGTTGCCAAGGAGCCGGTGTCTAACTGAAGGTGTTCTGAACTGATAGAGGGAGCCTTGTCCCTCACCAAGGATGAGAACAAAGCCAATCAGAAACAGACACAGCGTGGCTGCTGAATAGGGGACGGGAGCAGGAGGCCTCCTTATCGGCTCCTCCTGTGGAGACTGGGCTGCCCTGCCTCACTCCGCTCTGCCGCTCTGCCGTCATCTATGAACTTGGGCAAAAGGATCTCGATGCCGCTTGCCTGTCCCCAGTCAGCATGCTCTCACCCCTCATTCTTCTCACTGAAGGCAAAGCAATGGGGCAGGGCCAGCAGCTGTAGCGCGCAGGTACCAGGAACACTCCAGTGTGTGCAGGAGCGTGGTTTTCAGGACAGCTGTTGGACACTTTTGAACAACTAAGGGACATTTTAGAGAAAACAGCCCTCACATCTTGGGCATTTTCCTCATTCTTCTGTGTTCTTTTTTCCTTCTTCCTCCTTTCTAGACTCCAGAACTGCCTATTTTCTCAGAGAATACTTTCTAGTTACGCTCATTTCATCTCAGAAATACCGAGGGAGTTTATACAAGAGCATGGATTTCCACGGACAGGGAGCACTTGGCTGTAAGAGAAGTTCCAAGCTATTTTGCCACTCCGTGTCTGGATAGACTAGAAAGATTCTTATAAAAAAAAAGTCATTCCTCCTCAGCACTTTCTGCCACCCTTGAAATATTTTCCTGCTGCCCTTTTGCAAACACAACAGCTTGCGTGTCACCCTTCCGTATTAATATTTGGTGTCACAGGACTCCCGCTCTGAGAAGTGCGGACTCGGGGCTGTGCCACCGTCCTTCAGCAGACTCCCTCCTGGATGGGAGCCGGCCCACACTGCAAACTCGGCTGCTAGGCGGCTGCTTGCTCCCCATCCACTGCCTTTGTCTTTCATCTCCTAGGCATTAAGTCAGACTGGATGGTGTCAGTGGGCTGGGAAAGGTGGGCTGATTAATGCTCGAGAACCTCACAGTGTCCATCAAACCAACTTATTAAAGAAGGAGACTAAAGTAAACTGTATCAGAAGGAGAGAAAACATTGCAATAGAGAGATGATTAGTTCTTCCCTGCAGAGGATTAAAGACAGTTAATTAGGCCCAGCCACCCAGCAGTTAGCATTTCTATAGCACATGTGTCTAAATATTAGAAGGTACAAAAATGTTCTTGGCATTTTTTAAAGGTTTATATGAGGAGCAACCTCCTCCCCACCCAAACCAACATTTTCTTCTGGAGGGCAGGCCCCTTGCAGTATAGGCTTCCCCCACTAGGTGAGTGTTGTAGGAACCCGTCTGCATCAGTATACCAGCTGGTGTTGTTGTGAGAGGCTGTGTTCGGCTTCAGTAAAGTGTTTTGTTTTGAAGAGTCTCTCAACACATTTGTCCATTGCATGATGGGTGACTGATGAGCGCACCTGCCAGAACCTCGCTGAGTGTTCAGCAGTTTTTGACCAAAAATGGAAGGACGCCCCCCGCCCTGCCCTGACAAGCACTATGCCCCACCCTCCCTGTTCACCTGATCTCTGCCCAAGTGACTTTTTTTTTTCATTTTCCTGGGTGAAAAAAGTCCTAAAAGGGAAACATTTTGCCCAGGTGGAGGAGGTGAAACAAAAAACAGCAGACCACTAAAAGGCTTCAAAATCGACAAGTTCAAAAACTGTTTTTGAGCGCTGGGAAAAAAGTCTCGATAGGCGTATTGCATCCAATGGAGAGCACTTTGAAGGTGACTGACATGGAAACATGTGAGAATAAATACACAATTTTTTATAAATAAATCCCAGGTTTGGGGTGTGCCCCCTTGTATATTCATCCTGACATGAAACCAGCCCTCTTCTGCCTGCTGGGATCAGATGGCGACCCTGTGCTCACACAGAGGTACCTGGTCTCGGCTATGAACATAGGCTTTGGGGCCAAAAAGAGCACTTGTAACTGACCAGAGACACTGCCTTGGGAGCTTGGGGGAGGGAGCTCTTTTTCTTTTATCTATTTTTTCTTTCTTTTGAATATTTTATTCCTACTCTTCCTATTAATATAGGCTTGTTATTAATATATCAACAGAAATACCACAAACTGTAGTTAAGCTTTGGGGGAAGAAAACACAGGCTTGGACTACTAGGGACTGTTTGTTTTCTTGATAGCCAACGGTTAACTCGAACGAAGACTTGAGTTTATGGCTAGTGCTCACTTTGGGAGCCTGAGCAAGACTTACTCTCTGGAAGCTGGCCATGGCCGTGCATCAGGCATTTCAGTGCTGGCATTTCTACATCTCTTCTTGGTACTGAGTCAAAGGGAATGGGTAAAAATGTACCAGCAGGGGTTTTGAGTTAATATAAAGAATACCTTGGCCACACTTCCCCCTCATTGGTGAGCTAATAGCCAGGGCAGGAACACATTCTAGTTCACTAGAAGGGTTCGAACATCCCTACATAGAGGAGCCTAAGGGTAAGTTCCAGCTCAGGTTAAGGATGAGCGTCCAGTCATCCTTCGCCTGTGTTGGCGGGTGCTAAAGAGCGCTGGCCTTCTTTTGAGGAGCATGTGCTGGAGATTCAGAAGGGAACAAGTCTCTGGAGGGGAACAATTGAGCTGAAGTTGTTTTCAGGTTTTAATTTACCGGATAGAAAGTCACTTCTGATATCCAGAGCACTGCAGAAACTGATGTCTTAATTTATTGCTCTTTTTTATAGTTCCGAAAAGCCAGATTACCAAATAGAACTCTTCCGTGTGCCTTCCTCCAGCAGAATTGAAAGGATCGCCTGTCACTCTATGGACCCCACACTCGCTCTGCTTGTGGTCCAGGGTGGAGGGTTTATGGCTGCTTTATCCCTGGGAGAGTCTCTCTTCACACTGCCCACCCTTCTTCCAATTACCCCCCATCTGGGTGCAGAAGGATTCAAGTCAGCAGTATCTGAATGAGACAATTCGTGATAATAGCCCCTCAATTCCTGGGCTGGCTCCCACAGCCCAGCAATCACTCCAGGACTGCCCTTGCCAAACACACAGACCACAAGGTTCCAGCACTTCTGTCACTTCTCTGTCACTCTGACCCTACATAGGATCTCCTCTGAATCAGCCCTTCAACCTTTGATCATAGATCACCCCTTAGAGTAATGTCCACTTAGACCAAGAGGGATCTCATATATTAGGTACCTTCAAAGAATGGACCGAGAATTTGAATGCAGATGTGTGTATTTTGATTCTGCTCAAATGTCTTAGTTGAGTTTAGGTCACGTTGCACCTATGTTGTCTTTCCTTCTGCATGGGCGCATTTTCGCACAAAGAATGGTATCGCTTCAGTGAAGGAGATATTCAAGTCATTTTCTCATTTTTCCCAACTTTGCTAAGGTACAAATGACACATTGTAAGACATTTAAAGTGTGCATGTGGTGATTTGATACACAGATACTCTGTGAAAAAAATTTTCATCCTCTTTGTGTCCAAAGTGAACCAACTACAGAGACCTCCAGCCAAAAAGGAA